AACTTCAACCATCTATTTCTACATAGGTTACAATCAACAGATCAAAGGAAGTAGAAGAAAACCGAAGTCATGTCAAGGCACTTTTTCTTTGCCCTACTAGATTTCTTGCTTGTCAAGGTATTGCATTTCGTGGCCACAATGAAAGCGGGGAATCAGAAAGCAAAGAAAATTTTTGCGAACTAATGAATGAGTTTGCGAAAACGGATGAAAATTAAAAGATAAAGTTAGAACGTCGCTATGGACATTACATGTCCCACGACCAAAATGATTAGATCAAAGTATTACCAAAATGATTAGATCAAAGTATTTGGTTTAATAGTCGAAAAAATAATAGCTGAAGAAATTGAAGCTTCTCAGTTCTTTTTCTGTTATTGTTGACGAAACGAAAGATATTTCAAAAAAGAAACAACTAGCATTAATTATTCGTTACTTTTATGGTGGGCAGATACGAGAGAGAGTAATTGGAACATCCCATATGAGTGCTCTCAATGCCAAATCACTTGCGAATTTTGTTTATGACAAAGAGGTTTATGAAGTTTATACTAGACTGGAACTATTGTGTTGCCCAATGTTTTGTTGATGCTAGTGTAATGAGTAGGTGGGTTAATGGTGTTCAAGCCAGGATTAGAGAACGTGCACCACGTGTAACATATATCCATTGTCACGCTTACAAATTAAATCTTGTTTTGATTGAAACAATTTCCGGCATAAAAGAACTGTCAGAATTTTTTGACACCATCCAAAGTTTGTACAATTTCATAGCTAACAGTAACACTAGGCACGAGATGTTTATATCTGCTCAAAAGCATATAAGATATGAGAAGGTGCTATCACAAGAAAGGACAACAGTAACTCGTTGGTTACACTGGTACAGTTCTATTAGCGAAATTAAGCTTCGTTATCAGGCAAAATTGGCTGTTATGGGGGCAGTAGTAGAATCCGATAACCATGACGCATCGTCAGAGGCAATTGGCTACAAAAAAAAAAATCGAATCGCCATCATTTATTTTGTATTTACACATTTTGGAAAAATTGTTATCAAAAACCAACTCATCTGAATTGCTTCTTTATTATTTTTATATATTAATTAGAAGGAATGATACTTTTGCGTGCTCAACAGCCTCCTGCTGCTATCATGAAAGACCTGGAAGGTTTGAGATCTGAAACTGAGTGGAATGAGTTATTTAGAAAGTCTAAAGAGTTTGCAAGTATTGACGTTGTATTGCAAGTATTGACGTATTGACGTTGTATTGCAAGTATTGACGTTGTATTTGCAAGTATTGACTGTCAGTATTGACGTTGATTTTGATTCAATAACTAATGAACCATCATTTAGAGGAGCTAGATCACAAAAAATTTTATCTTTTTTAAAAGAATATTTATCAAACAGTACAACTAGAAAAAGAAATGTAACAAGTGAGCCTATTAGTTTTTCTGAGAAATTAAAAACATGTTACGGCATTTTAGATAGATTTGTTACAGAATTTGATAGACGTTTTTGTGCAAAATGAGTTACTTTTTAATGCAATTCAAGCATTTGACCATCACAATCAAAAATACTATTTGGATGTTGAAAAATGTGAATCGTTTGGAAAATTATATTTAAGTCATTTTGATGAAGTTGTTTTCCGATCGCAAATAATAGCTGCCAAATCATTCCAGTAGATATGTTTTCAGACTGAAGGAAAAGTTATTGATATTTTTAATTTACATGAGAAATTACAACAATGCTTATTCAGAAGTGTTAAAATTATTAAAAGTTGTACTGACATTACCTGTTACCACAGCATCAAATGAACGTTACTTTTCAGTTTTGAAACGCGTGAAAACTTATCTAAGAACAACTTGTGGTGATGAACGACTAAGTTTTTACTGCTAATGGCTGTTAAAATTTAAATACACACAAAAAAAAAAAGAAAAAAAAGTAAAATATTTAGTAGATACCCAGTGGGCACGGTACGTTTTTTAAACGTTTTTTGAAAGTTTTTATTAGGTTTAAACTAAATAAAAACGTACCGTGCCCACTGGAATATATTTTTATCAATTTTGAACATAAATATAAGAAGATGATAGACATTCATTATATTTGAATTAAAAAATAATGCTTGGGATGTGTAAAACGGCCCACATTGGAAATGATTCTGATTGCATAGTTTTATTTATTGAAAAGTTTTTTTATTTTATTTGCACTGCACCAAGTAATGTTTGCGCAATTGAGATGGCATTAAATGGACGAGAAATATAAAAGCTTTAAGCAAGTTGGATTTAAAAAAAGCTTTGCTCTACAAAGCAGATGTTCTTGTGATTTTATTTTCGAGATAATGGTCAAATTTTTATCTAGAAGTACGTCGAGAAATTTTAAAGTGGTTTCTATTTTTATGTCCTGATTGGCAATATATATATATATATATATATATATATATATATATATATATATATATATATATATATATATATATATATATATATATATATATATATATATATATATATATATATATATATATATATATATATATATATATTACAAAATTTTGGAAGTTTTAAAGGTACTTTATCTCGGTCATAAAAACGATTGAAAAACGTATACTTTTTTTTTGGTTGCATTTAGATATAATTTGTTCGCATTAAACCATTAAGCAAGATTTAATAGCTCTTTATTTATTGACTTAGAATATTTATATCGTTATGTACATAAAACAGATTTGTGTCATCTGCAAATAAAATTATATCTAGTTCAGTACAATCTTTGCTTAAATCATAAATATAAATGAGAAATAGGAGTGGTCCTAATGTAGTCCCTGAAGAGCCCCACATGTTATGCTCATTTTGGTAGTTTTAACTTCATTATAAGAAATGTATTACTTTCTATTTGACATATAGCTTTTAAACCACGCAATATTTATATGTTTAATACCATAATTTTCTAATTTTGTTAATAAAATGTAATGATCGACTGTGTCAAAAGCCTTAGTGAGATCTATAAATACGCCTCATGTATACTTATTTTCATCAAATGATTTAAAGATATCATGAACAAGATGAAAAATAGCAATTTTGTTTCTTTTAACATATTATTGTCCATTGTATTATTATTAGAGTTTAGGTTTAATTTGAAGCAAGTTTTATTTTATTTTATTTTCATGCTAAACTTGGACATATGCTAACAAATGCATGTTTAAACGAACTACCAATTATATCGTCGTTAATAATTTTACAGCCATTTATAATTAGTTTTTTTGGTAAACAAATAAAACTCATATGATTTTTACCTATAACCTTTTTTATTATGTTTGCATGTCATTTTTGTATTTTTTTTATATTGGCTACTATAGTAAAACTTTTTAAAGCACTTTTTTTAATGATCTTTTTTTAATGAACTTTTTATACAATCTTTGTTTTTTTTTAAAAGATTTTATGATTCCAGCTGTTATCCGGGGATTTTGTAAAGTTTTTGTTTTGAATAATTTAGTTCTTATTTGGAATGCTTTATTGTAGTGACATTCAAATATATGATAAAGTTTATCATAAGTTTCATTAATATTTTTTGTTTTCAAAACAAATGCTCAGTTTTTCGTCGATAAAATTTCGTCTGCTAATAAATGTCACAAGAGAAGCGTCCTTAATTACTCATTTTCAAGTTTTTACTTTTTCATGAAGTTGATTTACCGATTTTTGAGCGGTTATAAAAACCGTAAAATGGTCAGATATGTCTGTTATACTATAACAGATGTATCTGACCATTTGTATGACATTTATATAACAGACATATCTGGCCATATCTATAACTTATAGATATTCCAGTTTTAATTTTTATGTTTTTAAAATTATTTTATAATTTGATCAATTAAAGTGGCAGAATTTTTTGTTATTAGTAGTAGGTTTATTTATAGTTGGAATAAATCCATTTTGAAACATAATATAAAAAAAGAAGTTTGTTGTTGTTGTTTTATTCGACAACATCTTTGTTGTTGATGTATTCGAGCAAATCTAAATTTAAATCGCCTACCAGGGTTGCCATGTTTTTTTTCAGGCACAAGCCAAAAACGAAACAAAAATAAACCAGACCAAATTAAAATTTTTTGTTTTAAAGCCCTTCTTATGATTTATATTTTGAAAAAATGTTTTTTTATTGGAAAATTTCTAAAATTATTTCTTCAAAGTTTTCAGACAGTCTATTTAATAATGCAAAAGCAATTTATGTAATGATGCAAAAACAACTTCTGTTATGATTTTCAATCTCTTTACTTTTTGTATCCATAAGATAAGGAAACGGTAGATTCGAAAAGGACTTTTCAACTTGGGAAACAACATTCACTACAGGCAGATTTTTGTTAAATAAATGTCATTTTGAATGTAAGAAGTTTAAAATTTTTTTTGGCAATTAAGGATAAAAACAACATTTTAATAACATGACAACTAAAATTTTTTTAATTCTTCAAGATTTTAATGCACGCATTTTTTTTATTTATCTAAACTTTGGTTGTTCTTCTATAAATTGAAAAAATGGAAATTTTTCTTTCTCTCAAATTAATTTTTTTTTATGAAACAAAAACTTAATTAAATTAATTTATTAATAAGTGAACCAAAGTTAAACCAGAATTTAAAAAACAAATTAGAAAAAAAAAAAGAATAAATAACCAAAGACTTTTACAATAAATCATATTTAAACCAGATTTTCTAAAATAAATAAAAACAAAAATTCCAAGCCAAACGATAAAAAAACAAACCAGATTTGAGAAATTTGGCTTTAAAATCACCAGATGGCAATCCTGTAACCTACAAAGCAAACATATTTACACTTAGTTCTTCGCTTATAATTATTAAGCTTATAATTATTAAGAAATAATTAAGCTTTTAATTTGTTCGCTAAATGCTTTTTTACAGGGTTATTCATTTTTATATGCGCGTCTATTCATTTTTCTAGGCGTGTTTGTTCATTCTTATATGCGTATTTATTCATACTTATGCGTAATTATTCATTCTTATATGCGTAGTTTATTCATTCTTACATGCTTTAAAATAGCGCAGTTTTTTCAAAATAAATTGTTTTGAACATGAAATAAAAATACTTAAAACAAAGACTTTTTACATTCAATGGTGTTTTATTTAAGGTACAAACTATCTTCTTTTTCTTACTTTTTTTAGTTTTATTACTAAATTTATTGATTTACTAAATTATTATTTATCTAATTATTCATTTTTCTAGATTTAAATTTAATTATTTATAATTATTATTATTACACAAATATTTACCCTATGGATAGAAGAGAAAAAAGCAGCGCAAATCGAAAAACAAGGAAAAATATTACAAAAGAACACATTGAAATGCTTAAGCATTTAGTTGAAAGAAATGAATCTACAACAAGTATTTCCACTTCTCTTAATTTATCTAAGCGCACAGTTCAAAATCTTGTAGTTAAGTTAAACAAAGGAGAATTTGACGACATGACTGCATTCAAGTCGTTTTCTGATAAAAAACGAGGTAAAAGACCTATAAAAGATCAAATAAAAAATATTATTGAATTATGCGTACAAGAAAACAATCTTTGTTCGCAAAAAGCAATAAAAGAAAATCTTTCTGCAGCAGGCTTCAAGATGTCTCAGCCTACTATTTCAAGAAAACTCAAACGATTGGATTTATCAAGAAATTGTGTTGTGCATGTGCCAGAAGAAATAAAAAAAGAAACAACATAATTTATATTTTGAATATATCTATATAAAAACATAAAAGTCTATTTACTGTTTATATAAAATTATATTTGGGTAGTTTTTTGCTTTTCAAGCATTTCAGAGAATAATTTTTCGATACTTTTTATCGATCCTTAACAAAAATTTGAACGATACCAACGAAACTCAAAAATTAGAAGAAAATTTTTTAATAAACAGTAAAAGCAACAACAAAAAAAAAAAACATGTTTTAGCTAAAAAATTTCGAAGCTTTAAAACCCGTCAGCTCTCGTTGAATGTTGCGTATGAAAAATAAACGATCTAATGATGTTAGAAGTTTTATCTTAGATCTACCAAATGTTTTATAATATTGTCAACTAAGTTTATTAAAAAAAAAATGTTTAATTTTCGCCAAAACTTAGTTATCATACGATATGAAACTAAAATATGAATGAAATTAATTCAAAAGTTAAAGAATAAATTATAAAACAAATTTCTAAATAATGATTTGAGTCCAGTTTTATTTGACCTTATTTTCTTTTTATAGACTATTAAAGCCTGGTTTTGTACAAGCTTTAGACTTATATTGCCGAGGAATCTAACTTTTTTTCTAATTTGATAAGATTTTTTGTATCCTTTTGTACTTGTAAACCTCAATTTTCAAGTTTCTATTGAGTACTTGAGTATCAAGTCTCTACTGAGTATTAACTCAAGTTTCTATTGAGTACTTAGTTTACTCTTAGTTCAACGGTTTGCGTAATTATAGAGAACTACTTATTTGTTTACAATCATATATTATAAAAAATGAAGAAGCTTTGATACAAAATATAGGATACCTAAGAATATATCATTACATAAGAAGTAATATCAACTAAAAAACTAAGAGCATTGCGAAAACATACAATGCACAGTGGGAAATAGTTTAAACCAATAGTTTATTCACGTGAAGCCGAATAGGCTTCAACAGTTTTCTCTATTGAGTAGTTTTGCTTCTGCAAACTTGCTGGGTTCATGAAATTTAGAACGTAAGGTGTGTTCTGGTCTTTCGATATTTTAGTTAAATTGGAAGCATAATCGTTGGGTCAAAACATATAACCACCCGATATAATTTTTTAAAATAAATTAAAGGAGTTTGTTACCTAGATTTTCACAATAAACGTATTTGTTGCAGGCGTATCTAGATTTGTAAAAAAAAGGTTTTGTCAACCCTTTCGGTGGTATAGCAAGCCACAAGCAACATTTTGGGATACTTATCTTTGAAATTGAATTTAACATTATCCGGTGTCTTATTCAGGTCGTCGGTGTAGAAAGCTGAAAGCTGTAAAGTTGTTAATATACGGTTAAGGGAATTCAAATTTTTCGCAACGCTATGACTCAGAGAAACATTAATGTGGCAGTTTTGAGTTATAAATTACTTTTTGAAAAAGGTTTTTTTCGTACTCTCAGACATAAATATTACTGACATTAGGGTATTGAGGGTATAGATATTAGGTATTAAAGCTTTCAGTGTGCATAAGGAGAGAAAACATTATTTTGAAATGTAAACATTTTTTATTTCAAAATAATGTTTAAGGTATCAATGTTTTAGATTTCTTTATTATCTAATAAAAAAGTTTTTTTTTATCAACTTCTTCTAAAATAAAAAAGTCCCAAATGATCTCACAGTTTTTTCAACTTTAATTTGCTCATTACACTAATCAAAAGCATTATAAAAAAAATCTAGCTTGCACGACCAACATGCATGATTTGGTTAAGTTTTCTTTTTTCAACATATAACATGTTTATTTACGATGTTTGTGAAAATTTGTTGAGTTTTTTGTTCATTCTGAGGCATAGTTTTTAGTCATTCTGAGGCAAAGTGCGCTGATCTTTAAAAAAGTCTTGATTTATGATTACACATATTTTTAAATTTTTAACGTTTTTTTTTTTTTTGCTGTTTTTACTGGACGACCAATAGCAATTTTTCTTTTTAACTTAATAGTTTCTTTTACTTGCTTGATCCTACATTATGTACCACGTTTTGAAGCTAAAGGTCCAATAAAATGTTTTGGAATTTAATTTATTTCTATTTCAGGATTCTGAACTATGAAGTTGTACAGTTTATCTTTTATAGCCTCCTTTTTTGCTTGGAGTGTGCATAAAAATCTCTCGTTCTTCGTTTAGAATGTGTAATAATAAAATTATATTAAATTTTGTAGTTGTGCTAAAACATAGTGATCACCCGTTACTGGTACACATATATTGATCAACTTTTTGTTTCGAACTTTTATAGTAGAACAGTTGTTTAAATAATTTATGTATTTTTATTTCATCATCTTTTTTGAATTTTTTTACTAGATTTTTTTCATACTTTATTTTTATTCTACATAGAATCATAATTTCTATCACACTTAACACCATTTGTTCTTCATGTCACACATAACACCATTTGTATTTAATGTCACACTTAACATCATTCATAGTTTATGTCACACTTAAGACCATTTGCTATTCATATCGCATTTAACACCATCTGCAGATATTAAAAAGATTTTGTTGTAATGGCAACAACAACAACATATTATATATTTTCTAAAAAGTACAAAAAAATATGTTGTTGTTAACAAATTTAAAAAAATAAAAAAATATGTGTGTTAACTTTTAAATCACATGGCTTAAACCTGCATTGACCGTTCATAGTGTAATATTTAATAAAGATATGGACATCTCTTTCAAGAAAAATGAAGCTTAAAAAATAAAGCATAAAAAAAATAACGCGGTGAAAAATTGATAAATGCAAAGTGAAATTTTTTTTTTTTATTACGCTTTGCAACAGTTTTTGTCCTTGGATTTAAAGTGTTATAATTGCTTTCGTGTAAAGACAGTGAAAAACTTTTTTACATTTAGCACAAATTTCCATTTTATATCCAGAGAACTAAAAAAATATGTTTTTATTGAAACAAAACAAGTAAAATTTCATATTTTTGTTCATTTATTCAATCATTTTCACAAAGTAGCCTAAATACTCCAATATATCTTAATGAAGGTGTTTGCTCGCTCTTTTGAGTAAACATATTTTTCTTGAGTTTATTCAGATACGCGTAGAGGACTGAGATTCTGTATTCCATTTCAGTGAAATACTTTTTGTTCGATAGTCTCATGTCTTTAATTATATAAAATTTTAAAAATATAACATATATATATATATATATATATATATATATATATATATATATATATATATATATATATATATATATATATATATATATATATATATATATATATATATATATATATATATATATATATATATATATATATATATATATATTATCATTATTATTATATTATTAAATTTTTAATCTCAAGTAAAAATCTCATATTAAATTTTTTTTCTCATTATGAGATTTTTACTTTCTGTATTTTTGCAACCCCGTTATATTTTCTGAATACTTTTAAACGTTTTAAAAAATTAAAAATGATTCCATTTAATGTGAACATTATTGGTAACTTTTTTAATTTTTCTACCAACTGCAGAAAGGTTTAGAATTGAGAAGAAATGAAATGCCAAGAACGTTAAGACAATCGAGACATTTACTTGGAATTAAAAGCAATGGAAAATCCTTTTTCTCGTCGAAACTCTTTTTTCAAACTGGGAATAAAGATGAATACAAGCCAATATGAGATAAATTTTTTAGTCATGTGCAACAAAATACACAAGAAAATGGTTATTTATTTAAATATCGCAATCAAGATCAAGAATCTTACGTGGAGGTAATTAATTTACTTCGTTTATGGGGTTAGGTCCTAACCCCAATACCCTCAATAACCCCAATAACCCTAATAACCCCAAATATCTAACTTAGGTATTTAATTATACAGTATACATGGAGCGAATGAATAAAATCTGAAAATACCTTAAAGTTTAAAATTATTAATAAATCAAAATTAAAAGTTGGTACTAGTTTAAAAAAATCAAAATAAAAGGTTTAGTTTATACAAGCATGCATGCTAAACCTATGTGTCAATGTTTTTATTATTCTGAAAATTGCCACACAAGTGAAAACTCAACTTAATCTCCAGAACCTTTCAACAATATAACATTCTCACAAGACAATCCTCTCACTGAGTCACTGGTAACCCTCTCACCGAGTCTTTTCATTTACGTCTTCTTGGATTATCATTCACTACTGTCTTCTCAATATGCAAATAAGAAATTGTAATACGTAATTAAGAATACATAAACTGTAATTAAAAAATCGTAATATGTAAATGAGAATAATTTGTAGTTGCAATTTCACAATGTAAGTTTACAGGTCCTTATAAAAGGTTTTCTAAAACATGAGTTTGAATTAGTTAAAAATATCGAATTAGGCATTTGTATGCACCAGCAATAATAATTTGAAAAACTGTGGTGTTATTTGTCAACGCACTATGATCCGAAAGTCTACTATTAAATTGAATCCGTTTCAGCAATTATTTCACCAAATTAGCTTACATCCGCTTCTGATATATATTCTAATTACAGATTACAAATTCTTATTTACATGCTGTGTTTCTTATTTACATATTAGGATATCTAAATTACATGTTGTGTTTCTTATTAACATATTAGGATATCTAAATTACATGTTGTGTTTTTTAATTACATATTTAGATTTCTTAAATACAACTTTTATGTTCTCAATTACATAATAAAAAAGTGTAGTAACTCCAAACTTATTAACGGTTGTTTGAAGCCTTGTTGGAAGTAAACTGGGTTTTTTTTTTACTAACTAACTAACAAACTAAGTGTTCTGTTAATTATCATAATTTTTAATTTAAAAATTCTTTTTTTTTTTTTCTTTGAAATTTTTTTTTTTTTTTTAACATCTTCACTTCCAACAAGGCTGCAAGCAACCACTATAAGAGTTGGAAGTTACTGGAAGAGAAAAGACTAAATCTGTAGAGCAAGATAACGATTGACTGATGACTTAAAAGATTGCAAATTATATGAATCAGGAAAGCAAGATGAAGGAAGCGAATTCCAAAGAACTGATGTTCGAGGAAAAAAACTAGAAGAATAAGAGTTTTT